TCAGCAGCGAAAGAGAAGTCATTTCGCTATATGCGCGCACTGTTTTTGAGCGGTCAGAAAGGCACACGCACGTGAAGACACTGCTCATAGAGCGCGGGAGTATTGAACGGAGTTATTTTTGCCACTGTATAGGCCTTGAACGGTTTAATACACACACTTCTATGTGTCAAAATGCCCATCTATGCAAGTATCCTCGTAAACAGTAATTTAAGTGAAAGCAAACAGCTGAGAAAGAAAACACAGTAACACTTTCTATGAAGCCCATATTTATAATACATTATAAGGGTATTCTTAAGGCATTATAATTAATGCATTATAGAAAAACCTTATAATATGCTTTATCATCTTATGAATACTCATAAGAACAGTTTTAATGTTTTATAATATTTGTGGTTATAGCTTTTAAGAGTATGATGATTTATAACACACAGTGAACATGTTGCATCCACTTAAGTTGCAATGGATTCTACAATTTCCACTTTCTATGAAGCCCGTATTTATAATACATTATAAGGGTATTCTTAAGGCATTATAATTAATGCATTATAGAAAAACCTTATAATATGCTTTATCATCTTATGAATACTCATAAGAACAGTTTTAATGTTTTATAATATTTGTGGTTATAGCTTTTAAGAGTATGATGATTTATAACACACAGTGAACATGTTGCATCCACTTAAGTTGCAATGGATTCTATTTCTCATAGTTATAATGTATTATAAGTCTCACATCTTGCCATCTTTCTTATGCTACTTTACTTAAAGCAATCAAAGACCACTTATAAGTATAGTAATAATAATAATATTTTTTTTTTCTCAAACAGCCATAAGATCAGATATCAGATCAGATGAATGTGTAATATGACACATTTGCTTTGGACTATTTTTATTGTAATATCAGTTTGATTATTTTGATGGTACCCTTTAGACAGCTGTTGATAAGTAACTCTGCAACTACAAGTCAACTACCAGTCATTGGAGTATTAGTAGTATGTCTGCTAAATATATGCTAACACTTTATTTTGATGGTTCCCCAACAGACAAACTTTGCAAGTATGTCAACATTCTACCAACCCTATCCTTAACCTAAGCCTACTAATACTCTAATGAGTTAGTTGATATGTAGTTGCAAAGTTGCTTATAGTCAATAGACTAAGGGGACCATCAAAATAAAATGTAACCTAACATATAACATTGAATTTTTTTCAGTTGAAATTATTAACTAGCTCACATCAAAATTAATATTAGCCTCATAGGGAACACTCAAATAACACTCCACACCTAACCACTTACAAGATGTAGTAAGATACTGTGCAGATCTTAAATAAACAATGTCAAGATATATAGTCCATTATAAATGTAAAAGTAGATTTATTATGGTGTTCATTGTGTGTTATAAATAATCATAATCTTAAAAGTTATAACCGCAAATATGTAAGCATTATAATTGTTGTTATGATTATTTATAAGATGATATAACATATTTTTTTATAATGCATTATGCATTCATTATAATGCCTTAAGAATACCCTTATAATGTATTATAAATATGGACTTCATAGAAAGTGTCACCGAAAACACATGTGTAACAATATATTGGATCTGGGCAGGTCTTAAAGTGACAGCAGTCTAATATTCCTGGTGTCTGTCATTCATGTTAATCAAACAACAAAAGAGAGAAAATCTCCTACTGCTCTTGACTATATCACTTTTGCAACTTTAATAAGTAGAAATATATACTTTTTTTATTATTATTATTATTATTATTTAGGCTAGTATACATTTTTTGTGATATTGACACTGGTGACAAGAATTATGTAATTTCCATGGTATCAAAAATTTTGATATCATAAACACCTTATTTAAAGCAAAATATCTTGATGTATATCATTGCCATGAAATAAAATTACTCATATCGTGATAGAAGATTTTGGTCATATCGCCCACCACTAATATAAACCCCAAGAAATGTGTAATAAGAGAGAAAATAGGATCAATTTTGATTTCATGTTAACTCTTCAATGAAGAAACAAATCCAAAGAAGGCAAATCAGATGAGATTCAATGTGAGCTGATGGTTTGTTTAGTCAAAGCGTACCGTTTGATGCCTCCATTTAGGAAATGGCTCACTGCACCAGTTGTGTGTTTAAGTGTGTGTGTGTGAGAGCATCCATCTCCTCACCAATACATTCCCTCCCCTCTCTGCTTCCGTCTGCACTGTATGTCTCCCTCTCTGAGTCAGACAAAAACAAACAGAGCTCTCTGATCTCTGCATATGCACATACCAACCACCCCCCCCCACCCACCAACACACACACAATGCACATATTCCAGAGTCATCCACCAACACCACCCACGCACCCTCTCTCAGACGTGCATTTGGCACAAAAAAAAAAACAGACTTACATTTGAACACATAAATAAATGCACACACATAAAAAGCATGCCTCTGGCACACACTCTCGCTTTCCTGTCAGCCTCCTCACATGAATGCACAGGCATTAGCACGTGTGTCTCCAAAAATGGAAATGAAAACAAGAGGCTCAAACTCTGAGGAAAAGTAGCAGAGCACACCAGCACGCATGCATGCATGCATACAGGATCATCCAGGCATTCCATGCCCTCCCCTTCCCACAATTTCTTTCACTTCTCCGTCGCAGACTGGCTGTGTAAGACTCCCGGGCATGAACTTCCACTATTTAAGGCAGTGCTGAACAATCCAGTTCAGATTTCTGTGCAAATATCTCATTCTCATCCTATCGTACTCTGATGAAGACTTGGTGCAGTCTCTTAGGATCGTACCACGTGGCTTAGAGGTAAAAGTCTTTTGTCCCCTGGCCCAGTGCAGTGTATTGACAAAAACAATTTTTTTAATTCATTTTTTAAATAAAAGGGTTTATAATTTTTGTTTTAAATCAGTGGTTCACCCAAAACTGTGTTTAGTGATTATTTTATGATTTTAGAAATATAATAATTTTGAAATTGTATTATGCATTTTGAGCAATATCTTTTCTTTTTTTTTAGTCCATACAATAGAAGTCAATGGACACCAAATTGGTTTTGGTACCAACATTCTTCAAAATATCTTCTTTTGTGTTTCACAAAATAAAGAAAGTCTTACAGATTTGGAATGGCATGGATGGGTGAGTAGAAGATGACAATTTTCATTTTTGGGTGAACTATCATTTTAAATGAAGAGGTTAGAAATGGAAAAATAAAATGTAAACATTTAAAACCCACAAATAACATGCTTTTGGATTGGGATGATCTTGTCCAATCACAGCCTTTCTTCAGCCATAATCATTAATTCAAACAATATAGTCCACATTTCATGACATAAGTGTACTTAAAACATCTGAAGATGCAGGTCATACTTTGGGAATCTAATTTGAGCACATCCTTAAATATTTTAAGAGTGCAGCTACACTTTAAATGACATGGTCACTTTCTTTCATCTCTAAACCTTGGGTTACAGCAGCTCTTCATTGGCATTACAGACTTCAAGAATTTCTCTCTGAAACCCGAAAACCATCAAGAGACTTAAAAACTGACTTTTCAAATCCACATTAAAAACAGACTACAATACAGCTTCCACTCTCAGAGTGGTCTTTAGTGGTTTGGAACCACCGTAGCTGGGGCACTGATGCCTGTTCAGTGCCAATCTCTAATACTGCACTCATCAGAGCGTTTAGTGCATCTCTGTCAGAGGCGCTGAGGCGTAGCATGTCAGAACGCGCCATGCGGCAGCATGCACCACGCTTGTGCGATCGGTGCATGAAGCAGTCATCTGTGAGATACGGCACTTCAAAAACTACCATCTGCAGCCTCCATACACACACATTTACACAGCACACAGACGCCTACATTATGTGTTGTCTATACAAAACTACTAAGAACATAAAGACACATTTAAAAGGCCTTAATTATTTTTAAGCTTGTGGGAGTGTTTTGGGGTTTCCTTTGGAGATATTTGATGGTAAAAACTTGTGGCGATTGGATTAAACTAAACTAAAGTAACAATATTAAGTCTTGGTAATATACCAAAATAAAATGCTTAAAATAGATTTTGGATTTTGCTAATGCAAAAACATGTGGAAAACAATTCACTATTCATTGATTCAAAAGGTGCACAGATCTTGCACAGACTCTCTCTATCAAAACACAACAGTAGTTTCAGATATAGCAAAACAGATTAATCTGCCCCTTACTACAGTAATTCATTACAATCATAAATGATACACTGCCTCTCTTGGGATACTTGGCAAGACAAAAAGTGGAAAAGTTGGCAAAAAAAAATTACAAATGTTGTTTGAATATAAAAAAAAATTCATTTAAAAGACGAAACAATTTAAGGTGTCTGTGTTAAAGGTGTTTGTGCAGAAAGAGGAAATGGGGTCCAGAAAGCAGATATACAGCCACTAAATATTAACAGATGAATACAATCTTTTGTCCAGCAACATTAACTTCTGGATTTTCCAAAAAGATACATTCAGAATCATGACAGTGTTTTCAGACTGGATAAGAGCTTCCAGACACCATTTCCCTTTCAACTCACAACAAATGGCCCCAGAGGTCCCTCCTTTTCAGGAATGTGTTTCTGCAGTATGACAAGGAGGGCCTCAAGGTACAATCAAAAAAAAAAATCTACAAGGAAATAAAAATGACCAGCTTCTGAAGTGGGATTCAACAAGAGTCTTCATAAAGATACACTTCATTGTTCCCAGATGACATCAACGCCCAAGGTGAGACTGGGATACGATGGAGGAGTGGAAGAGGAAAGAATAGCTGAAGCACAGTAGTGTTACTCACTAAAACAAGCTGTTACCGTCCCCGCTCACACCTTGCAGGGCATCTGTAGATGACTGGCCAGATTCAGAGGCTGTACCACCTTCTAGGGATCCTGTTTCAAAAGCATGCTCCACAGCCAGGCCATCAGACTCCATTTTGGCAGCGTCCGGAAGAAAGTTGGCATAAGCGTCACTTTCTGCCATCAGAAGCTTCAGTTTCGGAATCCAGCTCTTGCGTACCACGCGCTGCCTGCACTAACGTGGCAGTTCATCAGCTGAGCACGTGAAATAAAAACACTGGTGCCTGTTACTAGCTCCAGTTTCTCAGCAGGGTCACCTTCGTCATAGAGTTTAGGATGACAGCGGTTTCCGATCTGTGCAATGAGCTCAGTGGGAAGAGAGGCCAGATCTTGCCTCACTCGAACTCCTCTTCCCCTTGATTCAACTGTGAGGTGGTCTGGTAGTGATTCCACTCGTTCGCTGGCTGAACCAAGATTACAATGGGGGAGAGATATTTTAAAATAAAAAACAATATATTCGCTCTAAACAGCCTATAAAGCTGCAGATAAATAACTAAAAAGATATTTAATATACATGTAAAATGAATTTATCTCCCTCTGAGGTTTTTTATTTTTTTGCAAATATGTTTTCTTGTACGTGCTTTTTTATATATATTTTGTTTTGAATTTATTCTTTGGGGAAAGTAAACGGAAGAGCAATGATGAAAAGAAATTGCAAGTTTAACCTATTGTTTATAGTATATATGTAATTTTGACTTTTGAGTAACAAAAAATATCTTTAAAAAATAAGTTTAAAAAGATCTACATTGAGCAAATGCTGTATTTTCTTTGCTTTGATGTCTGGTTATTACTTTTCAAAATTCCTATTGATGGAGTTCCTCAGGGCTCAATACTTGGCCAAATTTTTTTTCCCGGAATTTCACTACATACTGTAGTCTTTTATCACAATATGGTGTTAGTGTCAGGTAATAAATCTAACTGATAAGTATTAGCAACCCATCAATGAAAGCAAATTTTTGTTTTCTTACCCGTTGCCCCTACATTCAACATGCTGTACATAGTGTACATATTACAGATTTGTCTGTACTGTTCTTCTGTGGTTTCGTCTGTGATTTCCTCTTCTTCATCATCATCATGGTAAGAGATCGGCGAATCACTGGTGTACATGCTGGGTGTGCCTGGACTGGTGCCTTCCGGTGTGCTACTGCTGTTGTTGTTATTGTTGTTGCTATTAGTGGTACCACTTCCACCCAATAAGGCTGCACTTTGAGGCGGTGCCCCTCCTGTGCTCCGTGCCACCTCATGCGAATAGCGGGCTGCTTTCCTCATACCTCCCCCTCCTCCACCTCCTTCACGGCTACCTCCCTCCCAAAGACGCTTAGCAACTGGAGTGCAAACCACTGAATATGATGATGCTTCTTGTTGGGGCTGCTGGGCCTGAGGTTGCTGCTCTGTCTTCACTCTTGACACCAATGCAAGGGGTGTTAGGCAGGAAGCAGGTCGAGCTGTTGCCGTGGGGACTGCACCCCCACCTACAGTACCACTTCCAGTTTGAGTAACAGGGCTCTGGGGTTCTGAGGGTGGTGTTTCTTCTGTGTGAAGGCCCTGTGAGTCACAACTTGGTGAGCTGACCTTTAGGAAGAACTCTGTGCCTTTTTCCATAATCTGCTGAATCTGTAGGAATCCTGCTGTGTACATTAAGAGAAACTGATCACCCAAGTTCATGCTAAGTCGGCCGGTGTAACAGAAGGAAAGGATCTGCTGGAAGCTCTGAGGCTGGACTGCTGGTGGTAACTCCACGACAAAGCTCTTACTTCCAGAGTTGAACAAATCTCGAAAGTAGGAGCTGCTGGCAGCCAGCACTGCCCGGTGGGCTTTAAATGTGTGACCCTTCACCACCACTGACACATCACAGTACAGTCCCTGAAGTCTCTGCTCATTAAGACACTCCAAGACATTGTTGCCAAAGTTGGGAATCGCCATCTGCAGCATCTGAGCCATATTGTAAAGCCCAGCACTAGAGTCTGTGAAAAAAGAAAAAGAACTGAGGTGAAAAATACCTAATTATTTTACCAGAGTTCTTATAATAATGACCAATGGGCAGGGCCTGTAGAGAATCCACACCTACAGAAGGCTGCAGAAATATCTTCAAATTTCTATAAAATTCAACTTGACATTCACATTTCCACACAGTCCCATGCCTCAAGTGTTTATTTTGCAGAATTCCATCAATTTTGCCAAAATCCCAACAGTGAGGAAAATGTGAAAAAGTGTGCAGATTCCATAAAGGCTGACCAATGGATATGGTGTATTCATACATAACAACCATAAACAATTTAATATTTTTTAAGTAAAAAAAATATATATTCTTTTTTCAAAAGGATCAAAAAAAGATAAAAGCAGTAATACTGTGAAATATTGTTTACATTTAAAATAACTTTTCTATTTTAATAGAATGCAATTTATTCATGTGGTTGCAAAACTGAATTTTCAGCCGCCATTACTCCAGCCTTGTCAGTGTCACATCAAAATCATTCAAATATGATTTGCTGCTCAAACGATAATTCTTCATATCATCTATGGTGAAAACATTTGTGCTGCTTAATATTTTTGGAGAAAAAAAAAAGTGATATTTTCCAGGATAATTTTATGAATATAAAGTTTAAAAGAACAGCATTTATTTGAAATAAATACAGTCACTACTGATCACTTTAATTCATCCTTGCGGAATACAAACTTTTGCATGACTGTGCAGAATCATTCCTGTAGTGAAAAAAGTTGTCTTATGCACAATAATTTTAACAATGTGACTCTTAAATAAAGCTTTAAATAAAGATTTCTGGAATCACCACACATACACACACAAACAAACACACACGCACTTACTTGCAGTATATCATCATCTATTCTTATAAAACCATAGAGACACAGTGGTTGTCTCTGTTCTAACTCCAAGGTCAGTACATGCAGTCTCACAAACAACATCCCATGCTGGCAAGTCCATTACATAGAAACAGAAAATGCATACATTCTCCACAGGAAATTAGACAATGAACAAACGCAATAAATGTTGATACACATTCTTGCCTAGGGCCATCCAGGGGTTATCTCTGGGTCACATACAATTTATAATCCTACAGTCTATTATTTTTAGAATCATACAAACACTCTCTGCTCTTAAGGTCAACATGTACTTTCTAATAGGGATGCACCGAAATGAAAATTCTTGGCCGAAGCCGAAACCGAACAAAATTAAACACTGGGCCGAAGGCCGAATATGGTTTTTCGAGTTTTTTCCCCCCATGTATTTTGCCAATTTTGTTTTCACCATTGCATACATTAAAAAGCCAAAATGTGCTTTTTACTGTTTTGTCTTGCTTTTCAAAGAAAAACAAATCAATTACAAAACAACAATTTAAAAATATTTAACACTGAACATTTTTAACATTCTAGCAGACACTAT